CCCCCAAAAAATTTCGCAAAGTTTCCGCCACTGTAATCAATCCTCTTTCTACCTCTCCACAGAGTACCTAAAGGATCTTGGTTCAGGGCAGTATGGTTTAGTTTTCCAAGGCAAAGTGAACGAAGAAATCGAGGGTGAGATATCGGGTATTGTTGCTGTTAAAACCCTGAGAGAAGGTTCTTCACAAGACGCCATTAAAGAATTCTGTCAAGAAGTCAACATTATGTCCACATTTAGTCATCCTAATGTTGTCAAATTGGTAAGGCTATGTTAGGGTTAATTTGGACATCAATAACGACAAATAGACCTTTCCCCTTATAACCAAAATTTTGTTCTAGGCAAGTCTAGACAAATATTTCATCACAGCTTGAAAGAGCATCACAAAATTAATAATATTCCAAAGTTTCGTTGCGAAATGTTGTAAAATGAGGAAAATAGAGCCTTGCAAAATTTGCAATTTTCAGTCATTTTGCATTACAAACGGGAAATTGCAGCCCCAACACCCGAATCGTATGTCAATTTCCCGTTTGTAATGCAAAATGACTGAAAAACGGCAAACTTCGCAAGGCTATATTATCCGCATCTTACAAGATTTTGCAACAAAACTTTGGAATATTACTAATTTTGTGATGCTCTTTCAAGCTGTGGTGAAATTTTTGTCTAGATCGAAATTTTAGTTATAAGGGAAAAGGTCCATTGGATACAGCAATTTTCCGGAATTTATTAGCTCTCGTGTACACGTACACACATGAAAACGCTCAAGTTGTTAGAGATCTGCAAACAAGTTGTAACAACATTGCTGTCCAGCTGATATCAGGATGTGTTCGCACTGCTTGTTCCCAGTTATTGTGACAAGTCTGGAACAAGTTGTTATCTCCTTGTTACAAGGTTGATGCCAAATAAGAGACTTGCCACAAGTTGTTTCAACAGGACTAATACAGGCTGTTCGTGACAAGTTGCTTGTTGTCATCAACAGTGGCGGTGCCAGGCTTCCAAATTTGGGGGGGCATTTGAGGGGCAAACTCAAATTTTGGGGGGGGGCAAGATAGAATTTTTAAAAAGGTCGCCCCCCCCAAGGAAATTCGCCCCCCCCCCTCAAAACGTGGCGATATTCCTAGGAATATCGCCCCCGGGGGCGAATATCCTAGGAATATCGCCCCCCAGGGGGGTGGGGCGAATACCCTAGGAATATCGCCCCTCTTTAGGACATTCGCCCCCCATATATGCGATGTGGTTTATTCAAATAATTTCGTGATACTTTCATCTTATTATTGCCTTACACGTTTGAGAATTTAACTCTGCAAAACTAAAGCTTTTTTGTCTTTTTTTGAAACGTATTATTGGAGTATTGGCAAGTTTTACCATTCAGAGATTTACAAACTAATATTGAAACTGTAAAAAACAGTTTCATGTATACGCGCATTCACTAATGAGTAATGACAACTTATAAGCCAACATTTTCCGATAACGACAGAACGCTTGTGTAGCCTTTAGTCGCTCTTAGTGACTAATAATTTTTTTTGAGGGGGGGGGCAAAAAATAATTGCCCCCCCCCCTGGCGTCGCCACTGGTCATCAACTTGTTAACAACATTTCATGTGCAGACGATATCAGAGTTCTTGGGACAACTTGCTGCGAGTCTGTTGGCCTCGTCAACCTTGTTACAAGATGATAACAACTTGTTCCAGACTTGTCAACAACTGGGAACAAGCAGTGCGAACATATCTTGCTGACAAGCTGTGAGAATTTTACGCGCGTAGATAATTCCTAGAAATCTTCCCCGGTCTAGATTGGCGTAGCTTTGGCCGGTGAACCATACTGTATGATATTCGAGTTCGTAGAATTTGGTGATCTGGCAAGTTTTCTGAGAAGTTGTGATGACTCCGCGGAAGATGCTAACTCGGCTTATCCTAAGTTGACGGTTACAGATCAACTGGCAATGGCGGTGCAAGTTGCGTCGGGAATGAAGTACATATCCTCGATACGGTGCGTGCATCGAGATTTGGCCGCGCGAAACTGTCTCGTTGGCAGAGGACTGGTGGTGAAAATCTCCGACTTTGGTTTATCACGTGACGTGTACGTTTCAGAATACTACAGGGTAAGTTGCCATGATGAAACATTGCGCAGAATTACATTAAGGTGGTGTTCGTACAACTTCTTAATTTTATACTGAAAAAATTCAGGACTTTCAAGAACTCCAGGGTTTTTCGTGATACGACAAAAGTAATTCCGACAATAAGTCGACAAGTTCTACGGGTATTAAATTAATGTTAAAGGATTTTGTTGATAGAAATTAAATTTTGATAGAAGTGTAAATTTTATACATTTATTATACCTAACCAGGAGCAACTGCGAAAACTGCAACTATGTAGGCCCTTTGGCATGAATCGAACTTGCAGCACTGGGATTCCAGTGCAACGATCAACTGAGCTACACTATACACTATGGGGTTAGAGCACGACAACTGAACTGGCTCAGTTGGTCATAACTCGGGTCTGCCTCTGAGTGACCATGATTTTGACATAGCAGGCATTATTGTCTGGGATTTTTTTACCTATATAACTACTGGGGCATTTACCCAAGTAGGCCCTTTGCTTGCCCCAGTAGTGAAGCAATAGTTTCAGATGAGCTTGGCCCTTTCGATCATTAGTAAAAAGTCATCCATGTTGAAAAAGCTGCATCTGCCTGCTTTCTCGTGTCCTCTCACATTCTCGACATTCCATCTTATAAAAGTCAGCACAGCATGGTCTTTATGAACGCGTAATTGTGTGGGAGAAAGGCCCTCTTTGAGACTTAGCCCCAGTAGTTGTAATTTTTTAAAAACTGCCCTGATAATTTAATTTAATTTAATGTCATGTTCCAGTAGATATAAATTTAGAGACAGAGGTAACAATCTTCAACTGGAGCTTAGTCAATGCCGGCGCAGCCATTAACTCCAGGCTTCAGATGGCTTCACATGATTTTTGGAGTTGTTAAGTCACTCATGAAACCACATACAGCACCTGGTAAATGTGCTTCTCTAATCAAACGCCGTGATAAAACCGTCGCTATAAGGATATCAAAAATCGGCATACTTTGTAGCCACAGCTTAGATAACTAGCTCCACTGGCCTTCGCATGATATTTAGTTGTCTGTATCTCCTGAATTCTTAATCCAACTAAGTTTTGAAGTTTGAGTTAGCTCTTATCTTTGGAGGTAGCATCACTCCATGGCTCCTAGACTTCTGCAGCCACGCCCTCTAGTGATAGGTGCGCCCCAAATAAGTGAACTTATTAAATCGTTGCCTACTCCATGTAATGCTACATGTAGTTGATTTCCTTGTTTAGATGGACAAGACAAGAATGCTTCCTGTCCGTTGGCTTCCTCCAGAGGCGTTTGTTGACGGCAAATTCACGACGTATTCCGATGTCTACTCGTATGGTGTAGTGCTCTGGGAGATATTCACATTTGCGAAGTTACCATACGAAGATTATGATAATAATAAAACTATGGAATTGATTCTAGAGGTGAGGAAAGAATTCCTAGGTCTTCCTGGCCTTGCTATTTAACATCAAATCCAAATTTAAACTCATTATATTGGCGACTTCAATATAATCCCGTAAACTTAATGCTCTGACAATGTCAGACCAATCCAATTTTTGGTCGGATACAGTGATGAGAATCTGTACAGTATATTGCATCGTAATTATTTCACTTATATTTTCACGAGAATGAGGGAGAAAATATTCAAATATCGTGGCAAAACGCTCGGTCATAATTGGCCCGTGCCGAGCAATCAGTAGACGCGCGGCCATATCGCGTTTTTTTCCTCGGAAAATGTCCAATAGCTGACTCCTATATTGACACTGCTATATGCATTAGGTTGGACATGGACTCGTCATTAACACAATGTAATTCATCATATTGTCATTGAACGGTTGCCTTCAATGTTTGCTCCCGTGATAAATGTCTGGATAGAAAGAAAGTCAACAATAAGCCTAAAGAGGGCAAGTTATCATCGTGCTTGCCTAAAGAACAAGAAGAAATGCGACCTGGACGGCTGGACGTGCTCTATAACGCACGGAAGAAAGGCGATGTGTTCAAACCGTCCATCGCAGCCGTGCTCCTTGGTCAGAGATACGGTGGCAGGCGGACGCGCCCTTATAGTAAGCCTTCGACTCGATCAGGTGGGGCTCCACCCTTTGTAACTCAGCTCAGCTCCAAATTATTATTATTGAAACGTTTCACAATAAGTAGCTAAAAGCTAAATTGCAATGTGAATTAACAATTATATACTATAAAGTATAAGAATACAAAAAGTTTATATCAGTACAGGTTAATTTATAATTCAACTATAGCGAACTACTATATTAACAATTGAATCAAATACAGTGGTATAAATTAATCTACACCAAAGAACTGTGTCCATTAAAAGGGCATAAAAGTACAAGATCAGTCCATTGACAAATGATATTTTTCTATGGCAAAAACAATTGGGCTATTTTTAAACCTTTCCGTCCTACATTTGAAATTATATATCTTATCACCATTGAAATTAAATTAAAATTATATATCTTATCTCTTCCCCTTATTCGGTTGACCGTAAAAGGTATAACAGGTCATGTAATTTATGCATAGGATCTATCATTTCCTTAACCAGATTTGTACATATAATTTCTCTACGATTCTCCAAGGTTTTAATACCACACCGAAATAATGCTTCATCGTAAGTCAGTTCGGGATAAATTATTCTAAGCTGGACACTCAATATCCTCTCAATATCTTGACATTGTTCACCAGTAGACTGTCATGCCAAACTTGTGCTCAATATTCAAGCGCTGATTTAACTACAGATGTATAAAACGCCTGGCCTTTAATAGACAATTCCCATTATAGACTAATTTTAAAACTAGGCAAGGCCGGAGATGCTAATAAATCACCACAGCTAGAAAGAGCATACTAAAATTAGTAAAATTACAAAGTTTGGTTGCAAAATGTTGTAAAATGAGGAAAATATAGCCTTGCAAAGTTCGCAAATTTTGTATACTTTTGTATTGCGTGCGGAAATTCCTACCACATTCCTACCACATTCCTACCACATTTGGGCCGAAAATGGTAGGAATTTTCGCACGCAATACAAAAGTATACAAAATTTGCAAACTTTGCAAGGCTATGTTTTCCGCATTTACAACATTTCGCAACCAAACTTTGCAAATTCACTCATTTTTATATGCTCTTTCTAGCTGTGGTGATTTATTTGCATCTCCTTGTCTAGTTTTAAAATTAGTCTATAATGGGAATTGTCTATTAAGTCCTATTCCGGTGCCCCATAGGCCCATAGCTTTTAATAAGGATGCCTAGCACATCCACCCGCACTAAATTCAAACAAGCCATAAACTATGCATATTTTTTATTTTCGCAGGGTCATCTTCTCACCAAGCCAGATGGATGTCCCGATCCTCTGTATGACATCATGTTGAAATGTTGGTGTTCCAATCCTGAGAACCGCCTTCTTTTCCCGGAAATTATTAACGAACTGTGTTCATTGGATGACTTTGGACAGCGCTTTGAAGCACACGAGGACCAAATTCATGAAAATTTCAAAGGTAGGGAAACGTCATTACTAGAATCAGCTACGGTAGCGAGGCACTACTACTTTGTGGTATTATTGCTTGACAATTTCACAATCATGGTGCTATTCAATTTCAATCGCGGAGTTCATTCTATTAATGAATTATTTTATTATTTTCAGCTCGTTCTCACTCTAATGCGTCCAAATTGGACGATCACCCATCGCTCAGTTACGACAATAAAACTTGTAATGCTAATGATGAACAGCCAATCAACGTCGAGAGATTACCACCTCAACCAATCAAAAAGAAGCCCGGGGATCACTATGCTATACCTCCTTCTAATAAACGCGGCTACGATGGTGTGCTGACATTATCAAAGGACAGCAATGACGATCCTGCAAACGGGCGGAATGAGGTCGAGGTTCCCAGGGCAGTCCACCCGTTTACACCACCTCCAGATGGTCCACATTCGTATGGTGATGATGGATCAGCACCGATATATGGGAATGTTGATGTATATGAAAATAACGACGCCAATGGTCCTCAAGAAACCTACGATGTCCCCCCAAAACACGAAGATGACGAAGAAACATATTCTGTACCACCAGTACCACGCCATGGATATGACGATACACAATCCCAGGAAACATATGATGTACCCCCTCTGTCCAATGGTATTCCTGATGGGCCCGAAGAGACATATGATGTGCCTCCACGACACGAAGATGAATCCCAAGACACCTATGATGTTCCTCCTAAATCCCAAGAATACCCTGATGAACCCCAAGAGACATACGATGTCCCTCCTGGCTCAATGAAACAACCACTCATAGTGGACAATGGGACACATAGGTATAATGATGAACAACAGGATACGTATGATGTTCCTCCGAAACAACAAGATGATGATGATGATATATACCAGAATTCCTTGCCGGTTAAAAAGACTGGACATTACTCTGTGCCTAAGTCCCCGTTCCTAAAACGGCGCAATGAGAACAATAGTAGCGAGAATTTATCTCCTCCATCAAGAAACTCAAGACATTCATACGAAAATGTAGATTTTGATGGGAATCAGCTGCTTACGTCATAGGTATGCAAAGTATTGCAGGCTCGTGTAAACTGGAAGTTCCAGTCTATACGAGAGCTCATAGGCCAGTAACTTTTTTCTCAACTGGAGTTAGAACTCATAAGTACTGTTTGATAGATCGCTTCTCAAAATATTTATGGTTCAAGACGCAGGGTTTAAAAGTTGAAATTATTCATAAAGAAATCAAATGAGGCCTTGTATTTAAATATTAACAGATAATCACAACTCATATATGTATTGGTATCATAGGTAAAATTAATTACCAGTATCTGGGAGTTGAATCGATTGTCATAGAAACCGTACGAAATCGCCAACCCCTCGTCAACTCTCCCATCTTAGCCATTTATCGTCTTTGATAGAACAAGGTTCTAAATTTAAACAGTGTACTGTACTAAAACTGAATCATTATGTATTTTTTACAAGAGGGTCTGGATGGAAGTACTTGAATGACATTAAGATTGAAGTATTACATTTTTTGCTCTTTAACACATTTGAAGCATGATAAACACTGAAATGGCAAACTTGGCAGCTTTACAGCAAAATAAATATTTAGGCCTTTAACACTTTGGATAAAGCGAAATAACACTCAGGTCCGGCCAGGGGGTTGGGGTATACGGGATCAGGACAGTTAATTATTGGATATTTGGTATCTTATCGAGGCTTTAATTTTGGTTATTTGGTATCTGTGACGAAAAATATATCTCCTAGACCTAGGCTGGAACACTAAACCCCAGTGCATAGATCCTATTGCAAGGTATACTTACAAATTTTGTAGCTAATCCATCACAAAACCACAGTAGTGAATATCCACTAGATGTATATATATGGTCGCTGCACTGAAAGAATTAGAAATAACCAAACATTAGAAATCGAGTTCTTAATATGACATGTAAGCCTCATCGCAAGCTGAATAGTTAGAATAGCTTCCGTTGCATAGTTAGATGCGGCGAGCGAGTTAGCTGATAAAAAAATTAGGGGGGGGGATTCCCAACGTAACATATTTCTTGCTTTTTCGACTATTGTAATTCGCGTCGAGTGCTTCCATTTCCGGCCCGATTTTGAAGGAGAATAAGTGATTGAGTCAGATCTCAGAGAGACTCGATATACTGATTCATGTCGTTAAATTTATTAAATTATTTTCCCATGGCAAATTTTGACGAGACATATAGCGTTTCAACCCGATTTGGGCGGCGATATACGACACGTCGGTATACCAGTATTTCTGGAATTATCGATCGGTATCGCCTGCATACCGGTATTTGAGAAAATACCAGTATATCCGCTATATGTGTTATATCTCTCATTTGCGCGCAGCGGCAACTTGTACCTTTTTGTTCCCGCTATAATCACTTGAGCGCTAATTGTTTTATTCCGCATTCTCAGCGTTTTGATGCACTTACCGGGAGAAAAGGAAAATAAGGGTCATCCATAATATATTATCAACATTTTCATACGCTTACAAACCGTACGCTGGGAGGGGGTTAATGACTAATGTACGCTTTTTTTAAAACATCGATGATAGACCACGTACTACAGGTAATCGTTTCCGAAGTACAACATTTTTACTGTAGGTGCGATTTTCTTCTTCTGATGGATCATGGATGTGAACGATTGGATGAGTTATGAATACTCAGATGAGGGTGGATATACTCAGAACATTCGTAAGTCATCCACACGTTCACATACATCAGGATGCATCAAAGACGAGAAATGGCTAAGATGCGCTTAGGACAGCAATGTTTTATGCGCTATGTAAGGGGCCGATTACATGGAGCATTTTCAACCCTGGGGTTGAACTCAGCCCTGTTTACCGGGTTGAAATTTCAGCCCTGTCTGTAATACAAAACTCTATCAAAATCAAATGCGCGATTATACATGACAAAATTTTCAACCCAGGGCTGAGTTCAACCCCGGGGTTGAAATTTCAACCCTGCTTCAGCTAGCAGGGTTGAAATCCCAACCCCGGGGTTGAACTCAGCCCTGGGTTGAAAATTTTGTCATGTAATCGTTTCAACCCAGGGCTGAAATTATCATGAGTTATTCGAGCATACGTGGTAATGACTATTTATTACAAGAAAACAAAATAAAGGCTTTTTTACTTCCGGGAATCGATGCCGAGAACGTATAGTATAGCGTTTCAACCCCGGGGTTGAAATCGTCCATGTAATCGCAAAAAATTTCAACCCGGTTAACAGGGCTGAGTTCAACCCCGGGGTTGAAAGTTCTCCATGTAATCGGCCCCCTCCGGCGCTCTTGGAGAGAGGTAAAAAAAAGGTGCACCTTGTACGCTTGTGAAAATGTTCATAATTATGAACATGCTAAACATGGAGTATCTTTGATATTGTATGTGGGGTTGACTGTGCATTGCGCGCCACGCACGCCCTTTTGAATCCGCCACCTGTTTTAGTACAGTATATGCTGACGACAATCACATACATATACTCAAGGGAAGGTTTAATAGACGGCTATTCCAGCTATCGACTAATTTTTTATCTAGACAGGAAAGAGGAAATATATCATTATAGCTCAAAAGAGCATCCTAAAATTAGTAAAATTGCAAAGTTTGGTTGCGAAATGTCGTAAAATACGGAAAATTAGCCGGTGAAATTAGCAAATTTTGAGTATTTTAGCATTACGCGCGGTAAAAATAACCACTTTCGGCTCAAAAATATTATAATTAAGCATGTGAGTTATCTATAAATTGTGAATGTCTATTCTGAATAAAATAGTCGCATTTTCTTTTGCCCTCTAATAAAAGGACTCGACTAATGCGCAAGATTTTAGGCAGGAAACGGAATTGAGTCGGTGGGCATATTCATATCTTCCCGCTGTTTACCATAATAATTATCTTCACTGAACTCGGAATTATTGTTGGACAACTTGGACAAGTGTCCAATCACAGCAGAAATTGCAGGGACCGCGGAGCCTGCCTGTTTTTAAGTGGGAAGGGGGGGGGGAGCAGGAGAGCACCGGGAGCTATTCCACGCAGGCAGGCTGGATTCTATCCGGTATTTTTTTATTACCAATCGAAAAAGTGTGGGGGGGGGGAATGCAACCCCCGCCCCCCTGTTCCGCGGTCCCTGTCTTGTGTAAATAATCATATCAATAGTACATGATCTTATAAGTAGTTTGGAGAGATTTGCTGTTTTCTTCCTTTGGAAGAGGTTTCGGCGAATGTTTCCTTTAATTAATTAATACTTATAATACTTTTTGTTTGTGGGAACACCATGTAAATTTATTACCGTGCAAAGCATTCGATATCCGTACAAGCCCGGTTCTTCATCAGCGCTAATAATATGCTTGACACCGATAAAGATCGGGCTCACCCATACTGATATGGGCTTACCGCGGATTGTTGAAAGCTTTGCAATAAATCATTACGTAGTGTTTCCACACACAAAAACTATTATATGTTTTATCGCCTTGCGAGCCTACAAAGAACTTAATTAATATTTATCAGACCTCTGAAGGCCGGGAGATTACGGTGCAGGCAGCTCTCTAGTTTTAACTTTTTAAATATGTTATCTATCTCAAATGCACGGCCCTTTGAAAATCATTTTTGTAATAATAATAATAATAATATAATACTTGAATATGTTATGTACTTTTGAACGGTGTAAATAAACGAACAAGTTTGTGTTAAATATTAATAGTTTACAAGCAATAAAAACTTGCCCAGTCGACTGGTGAAGTCTTTGTTGCGTCACACGACCGCTTGCAAAGCAACCTCGTACCCAGGGCTTCTGCGCTTATTCCGAGACATTCTCGTACCCAGAGCCCTTCTTACGCCGAACGCGCGTAAGAAGGGCTCTGGGTACGACAATGCTTCCGAGAGCATTACATTATCGTACCCAGAGCCCTTCTTACGCGCGGTGCGACGAGGGGCTCTGGTCAAATCCATATTCCGAACTGGCATCTGATTGGCTAGTTCTACCACCGGACATTGTTTTCTTACCATGTTTTTATGGTATCCGGTTATGGATTTGGCCAGAGCCCCTCGTCGCACCGCGCGTAAGAAGGGCTCTGGGTACGAGAATGAGAACATTAAGCATAGAAGCCCTGGGTACGAGGTTGCTTGCAAAGTCGAATTGAAGCAATT